TGACCCAGCTCGTGGGCAGCGGTTCCGATCTGAAGCATGGAAGAGAACATAACTGCATCATAAGGGCTTTACAAGAAAATGACGTTGTTTTTTGCTGGACTCATTTTTCTGTGAGCACCGTGACCCTAGAAGGAAGATTCATTAAACACATACCGAGTCACAGCCTTCGCCAAGTGAGAGGTTTTGTTGATGCCTGCCAAGTCTGCCAACGAAGACCAACATCCATCTTCCATGAACACACGAATGCTGTCCTGAGCTGAAATTTCGGCGTCCAGTGGTATCTTACCATCATCGACAACTTCCAACTTTACCGGAATCGCTTTGTGTGAAGTTGATGCAGGTATTATCCATCCATTCACGCGCCGCTTTCTTGAATACACTCTTAACCTTTTCACCTGCAAGTAGTAAGCTAATTGTTGCCAATATTTTTTGCGTTCATGAACGAGAAGACTACGGGCAGCTGACTTGCACTTTTGTCGAAAAAGTAGTTGACTCCTTTCGTCCATCTTCTACCAGGGTAATCTTTATCATTGTAAGTCTGCCGTTTGGTACGAGTTCCACTAACATCCGCAGCAATTTGATCTTGTTGTTCCCTTAATACGCTTCATGTTGTCCTTGTCAAGAAATCAAGAAGTGGAGGTACAAACTTTGAAAGGACCATATCTCCCTGGAAGAGTGCTCCTGCAATTTGACTTCTCAAGTTGATCTCTTCAATGGAGTCCCCAGCTGGTGAGACTTGATCGATAGTTTTCCTTTTGAACATCTGAAGTATCCATGATTAACATTCATGAAACAGTAAAAGTACAAGTTTCACCTTCAGCCTTTCCACAAGCTCCTTTCTTTGCTCTGGGCTCAGAGTAAGCTTCTTCAAAATTGCGTCTTTGTATCCGCTCAACTTTTTCCGGAATTCGAGCATGTTACCATTGAAAACCTACATATAGTTACAAGGAGCTATGCTCAGTTCTCACAGAGTGTCAGAAACATGATACCTCCTTGATGCGATCCATTGTCTTTTTTATCTTGGATGTACTTTTTGCTTTGATTAGACCGCATTGAGGCTTCCGACCGGCAATGGACTTCTGAGGTCGAAAAAGTCGGCGGCTCACGCACTACATGCCACCACGCAAAGGCGAGTATGGAAGAATCCTCATTCTGCAAATGAAGAGCTTGAGAAACTCTTAGTGATTCAGGAAGTTAGGAGTTGTGTTTGATGGAGGATGCTGCTCTGTTCGTTCCACTGTATTTATACTGTACATTCAGATCTCAGAGTTGACATAACGGGAAGGTGTTCTGTGACGAGGTATATCGGGACATCAGGAGAAAAACTACTGCCGCAGCTGCTCTGGCTTATGCCATAGAGTTACAATTTGATTATAGGATCAGAGCAGCTTTTGTCTACAAGAATAGCCAGCAAATTGAGATACGAAAATATGAGTGCGGATCCCGGAGAGTCAAACTGGAACGTTCTTGGCTGCTTTTGATGACACTTTTTGGAGCATTTTAGGTCTAATGCTTGTAGTTTTTTTGATGGCATAGAATGCAGAGTTTTAAGCAGCGAACGCAACAAACACCTCATTCGCTCCGATCACCTTTTCTCTCTGGTTTCTCGCGAGTTGATAGCCAATATGGCTAGTGACGAAAATGGAAGCAACTGTAGCTTTTTCCGTGTTCCTGGTTTTACTCTGCAATGAAGTCGTATCTGGTATATAGACCACACTTTAGGTCATTTAACGCCCACATACAATACTACGTAACCTATGGATCATTTTGCGTCCGAATAGGGCGCAGTATTCGATTAACTTCCAGCCAGTGTCATACTTTCCTCAGTCCGGAGGGAACGATTGCCATCGATTGGATGAGGGAACTTTCTTGCCCAAACATGATGTGTATATGAAATGCCATAAGTTCCCCCACGCAACCACTTGTGTGCACAATCGCTTGTGTGAGACACCTGTGCCTCGCCACATAGAGGAAAGTATGACACTGGAAGTCGATCGAATGCTGCGCCCTATTCGGACGCAAAATGATCCATAGGTTACGTAGTATTGTATGTGGGCGTTAAATGACCTAAAGTGTGGTCCATATACCAGATACGACTTCATTGCAGAGTAAAACCAGGAACACGGAAAAAGCTACAGTTGCTTCCATTTTCGTCACTAGCCATATTAGCTATCAACTCGCGAGAAACCAGAGAGAAAAGGTGATCGGAGCGAATGAAGTGTTCGTTGCGTTCGCTGCTTAACTCTGCATTCTGTGCTCAAAAACTGCAAGTATAGCCTAAAATGCCTCCAAAATGTCATCAAAAGAGCAAGAAATCCAGTTTGACTCCATCCGGGATCCGCACTCATATTTTCGTATCTCAATGTTCTGGCTATTCTTGTAGACAAAAGCTGCTCATAGTGATCCTATAACCAAATTGTAACTCCATGGCATAAGCCAGAGCAGCTGCGGCAGTAGTTTTTCTCCTGATGTCCCGATATACCTCGTCACAGAACACCTTCCCGTTATGTCAACTCTGAGATCTGAATGTACCGTATAAATACAGTGGAAAGAACAGAGCAGCATCCTCCATCAAACATAACATTCTTACATTTTGACTCCACCAAGAATTTCTCAGCTCTACATTGCAGGATGAGGCTTCTCATACTCGCTTTGCTGGTGGCTGTCTGCGTGAGCGCCGACTTGTTGGACCTCAAAAAGTCGCTTGCGGTCGGAAGCCTCAAGGGTCTAATCAAAGAAAAAGTGACATCCAAGATAAAAAAGACAATGGATCGCATCAAGGAGGTATTATGTTTCTGACACTCTGTGAGAACTCAGCATAGCTCCTTGTAAATATATGTAGGTTTTCAATGGTAACATGCTCGAATTCCGGAAAAAGTTGAGCGGATACAAAGACGCAATTTTGAAGAAGCTTACTCTGAGCCCAGAGCAAAGAAAGGAGCTTGTGGAAAGGCTGAAGGTGAAACTTGTACTTTTACTGTTTCATGAATGTTAATCATGGATACTTTAGATGTTCAAAAGGAAAACTATCGATCAAGTCTCACCAGCTGGGGACTCCATTGAAGAGATCAACTTGAGAAGTCAAATTGCAGGAGCACTCTTCCAGGGAGATATGGTCCTTTCGAAGTTTGTACCTCCACTTCTTCGATTTCTTGACAAGGACAACATGAAGCGTATTAAGGGAACAACAAGATCAAATTGCTGCGGATGTTAGTGGAACTCGTACCAAACGGCAGACTTACAATGATAAAGATTACCCTGGTAGAAGATGGACGAAAGGAGTCAACTACTTCTTTCGACAAAAGTGCAAGTCAGCTGCCCGTAGTCTTCTCGTTCATGAACGCAAAAAATATTGGCAACAATTAGCTTACTACTTGCAGGTGAAAAGGTTAAGAGTGTATTCAAGAAAGCGGCGCGTGAATGGATGGATAATACCTGCATCAACTTCACACAAAGCGATTCCGGTAAAGTTGGAAGTTGTCGATGATGGTAAGATACCACTGGACGCCGAAATTTCAGCTCAGGACAGCATTCGTGTGTTCATGGAAGATGGATGTTGGTCTTTCGTTGGCAGACTTGGAGGCGTACAAAACCTCTCACTTGGCGAAGGCTGTGACTCGGTATGTTTTAATGAAATCTTCCTTCTAGACTCACGGTGCTCCACAGAAAAATGAG